GCTTTGGCACAACCACTTCATTAGCTCTGGAGCTACTTGTACTTGTCCTCCGCTCTTCCTCAGTAGCATGTTGGATGCCTTCCGACCTGAGGGGCCCATCTTCTAGCGTCATATCTTTTAGCCTTTTGTTTCTGATCATGGGGTGTTCTTGACAAAGATACTGGAGTGGCATTGCCATTTCCTACCCAGATGGATTGCATTTAGTCGGAACTCTCCACTATGTCCTGTCCGTCTTGGGTGTCCCTGCACGGCACAGCCCATAGCTTCTCTGAGTTACTCAAGCCCCTTCACCACGACAAGGCAGCAATCCATGAAGGGCCCCAATAGTACTAGTGGATAAACCAGATGGAAGTATCTGCTTTGGCATGGATTATCGAAAACTGAACCACGTCACTAAGCCTGATGCTTACCCAATGCCTCGGCTAGATGACTTGATAGAGACTATAGGGGGATGTCAGTTCATATCCAGTTTAGATTTTACTAAGGGGTTCTGGCAAATGGGCTTAGACCCCAAAGATCAGGAAAAGACCACGTTTTGTAGCTCCTTTGGATTGTATGAATTCCGTGTCTTAAGCTTTGGATTGAGAAATGCTCTAGCAATGTTTCAAAGACTCATGGACCAAATAATACAAGGGCTTAGGGAATTCACTGTAGCATACATTGACAATATAGGGATCTATAGTTAGACGTGGGAAGATCACATGAGCCATATTGGAACAGTGTTACAGAGACTACATGAGATTGGGTTAACAGTAAAAGCTAGTAAATGCCAACTGGGTAGCTCAGAATTAAAATACTTAGGCCATGTAGTAGGGGGAGGCATAATCGAACCCCTAGAATCTAAAACAGAAGTAATCAGTAATAGGCCTAGACCGATGTCCAAGAAAAAAATCTTTCTTAGGGTTGGTTGGCTATTATGATTGCTTTATAAAAAAATTCAGTGAGATAGCCGCCCCATTATCTGATTTGACACACAAAAGAAAAGCTGAAAAGATCCAGTGGGCGGGCGACTGCGAGGAGGCCTTTAGTAAGCTGAAGACTGCGTTGATGACCGGTCCTGTCCTGAGAACTCCAGATTTCCGGAAAGAGTTCACCGTCTTCACGAATGCGTCCAACATCGGGCTGGGAGCTGTGCTGAGCCAAGCAGATGACAACAGAAACCATCATCCGGTAACTCTGAAGATGCCGGCCACAGAGACTGGCGAAACATTAGGAAGAACAACCTTCAGAACACAGCCAAAGAGCCCGAAAAACCCACAACAACTATTAGATCCAGGCCGTGAAAGCCTTCGCAAATACATACAATACATTGTTCATACTTTTCTTTCAAATATATTATTTAGCTTAGTACTGTAAGAAATCTAGTCACTAAAACTCGGTTATGAGCAAAAAAAAAATCAGACAGATCAGATGGGGGGCAGGGAATTATATGTGACATCCTGAAAAGTACAGAGCATGCAGAACCCAAAATATAATTAGAATATTTGTATTCAAACTTTAATTATATGTCAGTTCTTGACTAATTTCAAAGTAAAAGCTGAGTGTAATTAAGTAAATACATTGAAGTCTTGTGGCACATTAGCCATATTAAAGTTCTCTTCAATTTATTTAATAGATTCCAGTGTATAACATTATTTTAAAAGTGTTATCACATGTTTAGCTTTGCTAGAGTACGATTCTGCATCAAAAGTTAGTAAGAATCACAATAAATTAACAGTATAGTTGTATGTCATTGTACACACATACATTTCTTTCTCAAGCTCTGTTTTCATTGCTGTAAGCTGCTGTATACAATCTTCTTTATTTTCAAATGCTCCAGACAATTGTATTTCCAAATGATGTATTTCTTTCTGCAGACAAAATTAAGGTATATATATTATTCTGTACTTCTAGTTCTTTCAACAGAACTAAGCAGTATACAGTTGCTAAAATAAAAATTGACCTGGCAGACAGCATTATACAGAATACATTTCTGATACGTAATCTCTGTTTATATATAAATAGCAAAAACAGTTTTGACAAAACATGTCAAAAGTCTCTTAGAAGACAGCTGAACATATTTCCTTTCACTTTGCAATGTAGCATCTTGAATCTATAAAAATATCTTTCTGATTTGGATTGAAACTTTCTACCAGGAATGTGATATAATGTGATCTGGGAAACCCATGATTGAGTTCTGCTGAAGTTTTAAAAAATTAATAACAGCTAGGACGAGATACTGAAATCAGACTGGGATCATGTCACCGCAGGAGCTTCACCTTTTATGCAATCGTGCTTTCAGAGTTTAAATTCCTTTTGAATCTTCTATTTCACCAACATAAAACAGCACATAGTGGCCAAAATAATGTTGCATAGCATAAGTCAAATTGTAACTTTTGGTCTTTTTCTCTCGTAAACAAAGTGCCCTTGCTTGCTTTCACCTATGCTAGTTTCCAAGTAACAAACTTGTGTTTTCATTAAGGATATGCACACCACATGCCTCCTTATGACACAATATGATCCATAAATACTGTATGACCTTACTAATCTATTCCCAGTTTGGAATTGGACTACATGACAGTTCTGACTATCAGGCTTTATGAAATGCAAAGCTTGTTAAATATATCTCATAGGGAAATATGCTAACCTAATTGTAAGCCACATACATTTTTGTCTATGTTTCAGTCAACCACATGATGAACCAAATAATTCCCTACATATGCAAGGTATCAGCAAATAAAAGATTAATTAAGATTTCTACAACCTATTTTTCCTCTCTTTCTTAGGACTCATTCAAATGAGATGTCTTGTTCTGACTGCTGTGGGATGGAACTGTGATCCCTCAATCCCCACAGATCTGAAATGAGTCATTCCAATCATCCATACCTGTTTCATGTTTTCTTGAATGTAATCCAAGTACAGTTTCCACACTAACATATCCTCTCCCTTTCTCCTCAACTCTCCCCTCATTCCCTTCCCATTTTCTGCCCTGTCTTTACACTTTGGAAGAGATGTGCACAAGCTCTACTCTTTTAGAGGAGGGATGGAGAAATCCATTAAGAATTCAAATGGAATGAGAAGTGCAGGAAACAAAAACCCCAAGAAAGATTGGCAAACAAGAAATATGAAGCAGATGTCAAGAGGCAGCCATTCTGAGACGTGCCACTTCTTGTTGCTTTCTTGTAGAACTGATTAGCTGGCACCATGACAAGACAGGGGAAGGAGTTTTGCCTTTCTCCTATGCTCCATTCTGAGGAGAACATTCCTACAGCTGACTTCACAGCTGATCTTAGGGGAGTTCTAATTGCAAACACCCCCACAGGAACTAGAATGAAGGAAAAGATGTGGCTGACACATCCAAAGCAAACCAGGATGCCAAAAAAGCCCTGCATTTTCCAAGCAACACAAAATAATCCAAAAACAGAAACGAAGCACAAGGAATTGATCTGATTTTGCAGTAAAGTTATATGGATAATAATCCATCAAACTAATCCAAAATCAATGGGCTACAGAGCCAGTTCTTAAACAAGGTGAAATAGAATGTGCGGATGAACTCTTAGTGAACAAACATGAAATGTGTGGCGTCAGCATGCCAGGAATTGTCTTTTCTTGTCTCCCATGCCTTTACTCAGTTCTCCTCTGCTTAGTAAAGGTATTGGAACTCAGGAACTTTGCTAACTTGACTCAATGTAAGTAACAGTTTGGATAGGGACATAGGAAGTGCATGTATTCTCTGGACTGATCTCACACATTATTACATATACTGTATGCACATCGAAGACAGAAAATAAGGTTTTGCTAGCTTCTTGATTGTTTTCCCATTGTCTTGTGTTTCTGCTCAGATGTCTCTTTAATACAATGGAACCTCTACTTACGAACGTCCCTACCTACGAACAACCCAACTTACGAACAGCTCCATTTGCAAAATTTTGCTTCTACTTGTGAACGAAGCTTCACCATACAAACGGAAAAATGTGGGGGAAGTGGGGAAAGCGCGAAATTTGAACTTTCAGTTGACCGTTGGCCAGTGAAGAGGCTGTTTATCTGCTACCTCGCTTGTCCCAGCAGTTAGAGAGTGGATAGGGAGAGAGTCTTCAGACTGCCTGGTACAGTACTGCCTGGTACTGCCTGGTAGTGTACTGTACGGACTGTATTTTTTGGCTTTTTTTTAAAATTATTTTTGGATTTTTGGCTTTCTTTTTATAAACAGAGAGACTGCTTGTTCTGGGTGAGTACACTGTATTTACTGTATTGTACAGGATTTTTGCAGCTTGGTGGGGGGTAGGGCTAGGTGGGGGTTAAGTTTCTGTGCTCTGATGGGTCTTGCAGTGTAGATTTTAGTTTTAACATGTGTGTGGTTAAAA